GCTGAGCGATAAAAAGTGCGTGCAAAGGGGAAGCTGCTAGTGGGGCACGAGGGGGGGTGAGTGAGGAGTACAGACTCACTCTGTCTGCGCTGCGGTGGAACAGTCCGAGGGATGCCCTGGAATGAGCCCTGCCAGGGAGAGAAGGAAGGAGCAGAAAACCCACTCTGTGCAGAGAAAGATGGGGAAGAAAGAATAATAAAACAGAGAACCAGGGGAAACACAGTACCAAAAGCGACATTGTTCCTTTTATTAACGAGAAATATCTGCAATTCTAACCATCTCAAATGATTCATTAGATTTGCAAAGCTATCCTCTACCACTCCCTTTATTTTAGACAGAGACCCTATTCTACTAGCTCATATTGAGTAGAGTTCTGTGAAAAACTATTCGCCCCCTTTCAGATTTTCTGAATTTTTGCATAGTTTTGCTTCTGAATGTTACCAGAGCTTCATGTGGGTCCTACTAATATATAAAGGGGTTGAAAGTGAACCAATGAAACCAAAATTTGGTGCTGGCTTCATTTATTTCATAAACAAAGTCATTCAACAATACATTTCAGCATATCACACAGCCAACTTGATAAAAATCACTGGGATTTTTTTCTAATTATTTCCAAACATTGTTAGCTCAACAAGCAGAAGCTAAAAACAGGGGAGTTCAAGAAACGGGGCAAGGAGTTACAGGGATTTTAGTTGTTTCGAATGAAACTAATTAATAAAGGCTAACTATTACATGAAGGCATCGTTCAAAAAAAAAAAAAGACCTTTGAAAGGATGCTAAAGCTACCCATCCTCAGAAAGATGCCAAAGTGGTTTACCCATCAGGAAGTTCCCAAAGAAACTTATGTAAAAGCTTTCAATAAAACATAAAATATATAATCAATGTAAAACAACATATCCAAACAAACTCAGAAATTTGGAATACTAAGAAAGACTTTCATGGAAAAAATCTCCATAAGCTGGTCATCACCCACTTCTGATAGAAGGGGAACCCAAAGTAGAGTTAAGAAGGCAGTACAAATCCTCTGAATACAAATCCTCTGAAAGAGGGGCTTCACAGCATACAAAGCACCCTTCATTGGACTATTAAAGCAGCTGTATCTTTGCCCAGGCCTGCATAGCTACTTTGTAAGCTGCTCCTAAGACAGCCTCAGAAGCAGCTATTAGCTTCTGCTTGAAGAAAGACATCCAGAGGAATCTGTTTCCATAACTGAACTGCTTTTACTGTCAGGAAAATTTCTGTAGTATTAAGCTGAAATATGTTTGCACACACTTTAAGAACCTCACTCCATGTCTTGCACGATGGCACCACTGTAGGCTGCTCTTGATCCTCTTCAGAATAACATCCCTTTAGGTGTTTGATCATAATTCCCTTCAGATTTCTTTTCATGAGGCTAAGCTCCCCCACCTCCATCAATCTCTCCTTGTAAGACTTACTTTCTAGCAGGTGACTATCTTGGTTGACCTTTTTGTGCATCCATTCCTCTATCTAAACTCTTCTTACGGTGAAGTGCCTGGAACCAGAAGTCTGACTTGTACAGAAACTATTTCTCCCTATGTTTGGAAAGTATAACTTAATACAGCCCAAAGACCAGACTGCTGACTCATTCGGTTCATAATAATCTACAATTCTTAGATTCTTTCTTCATCTATCCTAAATCATCTGTTTATGAATTTGGTTTCTCTTTCTTAAAAGGAATAACTTGAAATTGGTCTCATTAAATTTTGTTCCGTTATTTTCAGTCCTTTCCTTAGCCTTTCAAAATCATTTAAAAGTTTCTTTTTGTCATCGGCAAATTTGTCAAGTCTTTCCTTCCTTCATTTCCTCATTCAATACAGTAATATCAGCCTAGGACAGGCCTGCACAACATGCGGCCCGCCAAAAGATTTCATGCGGCCCGCATTGCTCGTGAGCGCAAGGTCCGAAAATGCAGTATGTTTTTTTTTAAATAAAGTTTCTGCAATGAACTGTCGCAGGGATGATTTCCAGGAAATAACCAATCAGCGCTCAGCCTGTGAGTGCTGACACGTTATGACGGTGACGAGGGTGGCAAAATTACTCACCGAAGCAGCTCTGGGAGAACGAATGAATTACATTAACGAAATGTAAATGGTAAGAAAACCTTAAAAATATATTCAAACTTACCAAAGTAATATTTTTTTTCTTAAGTAATAAGTATAATTGAAATTTCAATTATTTTTTTATAATATGGTTTATTTTATTTGCAAAATAGTTTAATCATTAATTATACTATAATAATATATAATTATAGTACAATTAATGATTAAACTATTTTGCAAATAAAATAAACCATATTATAAAAAAATAATTGAAATTTCAATTATACTTATTACTTAAGAAAAAAAATATTACTTTGGTAAGTTTGAATATATTTTTAAGGTTTTCTTACCATTTACATTTCGTTAATGTAATTCATTCGTTCTCCCAGAAAACATTATTATCCCATTATTATAACTTTACTTGGAAAGTGCGGTGCTAAAAACCTATCTGCGGCCTGAAGAAGTTTAGCCTATTTAATTTCGGCCCTTACCTACTGCCAAGTTGTGCAGGTCTGGCCTAGGACCATACTTTGTATCACCTCACTCAATATTTCCTTCAATATGCGGAGTAATTTATGAAAATAATAATTTATGAAATTATTATGAAAATAATAATTTATGAAATTATTATGAAAATAATAATTTATGAAAACTTCAGAAATGTTTCTCAAGCTACTACACATCCAACTAAAATTATGCCACCCAGCCCACACTTAATAATCCTGCAAATTGGAATAGGATTAATTAAATCCCTACCATGTGCAAATTGGAATAGGATTTACCTACCATGTGCAAACATAGCTTTGTTCATATCTGGAAATGCTGAACAGTATTAAGTCCCAAACTAGATATACAGATTTAATTTCTTAAAACTTTTTTTTTTTTTTAGTTGATACTATCTTTTTTTGGGTACACTTCCATGAGTAATTACTGGAATATAGCGTTATATAAATATAATTAGTAAATAAAAAAGATTAAAGCCTAAACATTAAGTAAAATGAAATGAAAAGATCTGGGTGTACACATTTTCATGTTTTATTTATTTATTACAATATCTATCATGCTGCCCTGTTCTGCCTATTTTCTGGCAAAGATGTAAAAATGTACAAATACAGGGAGCTAAGCTAAGAGTCTGAGAAAAAAAACCGACTGCTTTTCAAGTTGGTCTGGAAGGCTAGTTTATTTTTTCTTCTGGAAAGTTATTTGTGGTAGAACTGTGTTGTGGTCATTCTATGCTGGAAACCAACCGTTACGACCCATGTAATAATATTCAAGAAAAGAAATGAATAAACTCATTCCTTTCTAATCCCCAGAAGCAACAGGAAAAAAGAGACTCATGAGATGCCCACAAAAGCTGGGAGAAGCCCCAAGCTAGCTGAGAAGAGTCTCTATAAGCCAACTTTTTTGCTGAGGTGGCGTTATTTGCAGTGTAAGCCCAGGGCGAGTGGTTTTGCCTTTAATCAATTAAGCCTCTAGGAGACAGAGTTAAGCGATTAGCCCCCTGCCCAGGCATCCTTTGGGCGTGGGCTCTGCACGCTCCTGGCCCAGGAATGTCATTGGCAGAGCCAGGCACTGCAGGAAAATCTGGGCACCGCTGCTTCAGTGGCTACCAAGCAATCTACAAACGCAAAGCGTCCACTGTATTTTACCTTTTAAAATTCAGTTTGCCATATCAAAGGAGCTCAGCTATCAATAGCAGAGTAAGGTACACGGGGGGAAAAAAGGAAAGAAATCCCATAATTCTCCTCCATCTGAGAATCACGCACCATACTCTTAAAAAGATCTACCTCAAATTGGTAAAGAGTATAGAAACTTTTTTTCCCTTTATTCAGATTAGAACTACTTGAATTTATTTTCTTGACTTTTGCTCTTCGCCGAGTTATCCTGAAAGCCAAAAACTAACTACTGTATCAGGAAAACATTTAGATTTTGGCCACATGTTCCATTATCACGGTTCCTTTTTAACAGAGAGGGTTGATACATTTCTATTAAATTCAGAAGTTATTATACAGGTTATCTATAAAATACTTGTGCAGTTTTAATTTTTAATAACTTCACTTCTACATAAGATGTAAACAATCTGTAAAATGAAACAGAGAAAAGACTGAACAACTTAGCATATTTATTTGTAAAAATGTTAACTTTCAACATAACCACCTTTATTTTGGATAAAAAGCATAGCATGATTTTCCAAACATGTTCTACAGTTGTGTTTGATTTAGAGCACTGACATTTGTTCTCCTGGCATTTTATTGAATATAAATTTTATTTATATATTGAATAAATTATCTCTGTGTGCATTTTATAGATTGTCTATATCTTACATAAAAGTACAATTATTAAAAATTCAAAGTGGATTAGGACTTTATAGCATAATATAGTATTGCCAATATGCTAACATTTTTGAATTCCAGAATTGGAAGGAAAACTTAACACGGGACTAGAAGTAGGAATTTCTAAATAGTCAAGGCAAAAAAAGTAATGCTATACAGGAAATATGTGCTGGTAAACTGTTCCCATTACTTTGGAAAAAAGGATGTCAAGCCTGACAGGGTTATAAGCTATATTCACAACTGCCCCAAATGACTTCAGAGATCAGTCCAAATAGTTCAGGTGTTTGCCATGCTGGCTGATCTAAAAAATCCAGTATTAATGAAACAAGGAAATACAATACCGGCTTTTTGAAGGCATGCCTAAAGAAGGACAAATGAGGCAAGCCTAGAATCCTAAATTCTAAAGAGTAAAAGATTATAAGAAAAGATGTGACAGTGAAGTGGCACTATATATAGTAGAGCAATGATGGAGTATATTGAAAGTACTATACCAAGTAATGTAACTGAAAGTAACAATATCCCAAGACAATTGAAAGTAATATACCACGACAAATAGCATCAGTGAGTATCTATATGCAAGAAACATATTTTCCAGTAAGTTCCTCACCGTGTTTTTCCTGCAGGTGGTCTGGGTGTATTTGTCAGCAAACCTGCACACGGTCACTTCAGGCGCCTTGCTGTCTTTGCTGCAGCTGCACTTAACAGCCTTTATGCACAGAGAAGAGAGAAGACCGGGTGAAGACGAAGAAGACACATACGGGCTATCTAACAAGAAGGTCCAGAGCCAGCTTCAGTCAAGAGACAGTAGAGATACACACTCAAATTAAAGACATACACTAACGGTAGTTCCAGTCTTCCAGAGAGAAATTTAAATGCTACTTTCTTAAAACTTCATACACCTCAGGTGCTCAACCATGGTCAGCCAGTATGATGACCACATGTCATTTCATATGCTGTGTGATTACTTACAAGACGATGTTCTAGTTCTCGGATTGTTTCATCTTTCTTTTTTAAATCTTCTTTAAGCCCTGTGATCTCACTGAGTAATTCGTCAGTCTGGCATAAAAAAGAAAAAAAACATAAATTAAGGTATTAATACATTTCGAAAAGTATTATAATGTCTAATTATCTGTTGTGGAAGGAAAAATTACAGCTTTGAAACCAGGATCCAATAGTGGGCTTCACATTACCAAATATTTAAGAATAATACAAATTGCAGATATTATTGGTACCTAAACTATGATCATATTTCTTTTAGTTATATCCCAGACAGGCATCTTTTCTCTAACTTCAGTGACAATTTTAAGGTTCCTCAGATAGTGTGATAATTTATCAACACAATATATAATTGGTTTTATTAAGTACAAATGTAAATATGTGTATGACTTACAGTTAACAATGTGAAAAGGCAAATCATCCAGTGATACTAAAATTAAAAACACAGCCCCTGAAAAAACACAATATAAAATCATAGCATTGCTGATCTCTGGATATGGGCAGTGAGTTTAGAGGTATGAGACAGGCAAGGGATGGAGGGTTTAGCTTTTACTTTGAACATTTTGTTGAATTGAGAGGATCTGGTCTTCATGCCTGCTTCTAAACTGCTGGATGCTTTTAGCTCCTGACCTCTAGGAAATTCGGATGTGTTTACAAACTGCTGACTGTTACGCAAGACTTTTAGTTATGTCTTCACGGGGAGAAATTCAAGTGGCACGTGATCAGCCAGGGAGAGGGAACTACAGTATGATGGTGAGAGACTGACACACCACATCAACGGTGTGGAATGGAAGATGAGGAGACGTCCAACAGTTCTGTCTTTCTTTCCACCAGAGGGCTGTCTTTTAAAAATACCCTCCTCAGCCATAGCAGCAAACTGAGCTTAATCAGTAAAAGATGTCAGGAAAACAAAGACTGCCATTTGTCTTTACGGGGAAGAAAAAATCTTTCAACATTTCTGGAGCTCTTTCATCCATATGGTTTCTGAGGTCCAAGAGTGTGCATGAGGCGCTTAGTAGAATTTGGCTTATCATGCTTTGCTCCAGACAAGGAAAGCTGCCTTGATTTCAGAAGATGGCACTTCTGCATTAGGAGACAGAGAGGAACTCTGATTTAATTGTTATTGAGCTGTGTGGTTTGTATTGCATCGCTAACTGCTGGAAGACCTCAGCAATTACATCAGTGAATACACTGAATGAATAAATAACAGAGATACAACAGCATTTACCTAAGGCAGAAGTGTACACTTCTGTACACACACACACACACACTTGCTTAGGAGGAGAAATAAAATTAAAAAGACTGGAAACATTATTCCTTTCCTGATAGTTGCCATTCACAAAATAATTGCTACATGTGGTAAACGTTCTATCTGCTGCTGCCATGATTCAGGCAGTCCATATAATATCAGACTTACATAAACTAAGGTTATGTAATTTTTCTGGATGCTACATCTATAGCTACGCATTTAATGTGAACATTTACGCCATGTGTGTAAAAATTTATGCAGTGTAATCCAATCTTTACTGAAAAATTGGGTTATGTAACACTTTCCAAAATGGATCAGTTATGCAAGTTGGGGACTGCCTACATATGTTGTTCATTAGATCACAGCTCAGACATTTATAGCTTTTTAAAAATATATTATTATTATTATTATTATTATTATTATTATTATTATTAAATAAATAACTGGATGTTTTCCCCGCTCAAGTCTATTAAACCACTTGTTTGTGATCCTTTTCATATTCAAGTTTTAATCTAACTTTTAAAGGCATTAGTATTCTGGTGTTTTCATTTTTCCACTTTTCACTTTTTCCACTTTTCACATGTTTAAAAGTATTACTTAAAGACGCCTGTTCTATTATATATTGTCTGGTTTTAAAATAATTTTGTAAGCCTATTTATTTCAATGACCCTGTGTTTGTTCCTGTTCTACACTACTGCCTTAAATTGTATGTCTCTAGGTAAGGCATTTTAAATAATTTTAAATATTTTTTTAAATTATTTTAAATTATTTAAAAACCCTAGTTTAACTAGTGCCTAATCTATTTTGGGCACTTAATCTGGTAGTAGGACCTCCCCAACCCTGGGGGGAAAAAACAACAACTCAGTAACCAGAAAAAAAATCTACTTGGAATTATTTAAAAAGGAAGTATAAACAGTTTAGAATAGATAGTAGACTCTGTGCATATGTGGTCTGTCTGATGTGATTTTCCTAGTTGAATAAAACTTCTTCAGTACCCTGCCCTCTTCCATTCTAAAGTCTCATCTTCAAAATAACAACAGCCAGCTTACCTTATAAGCTGGTTCGGGTTCCAGCTGTTCTGGACTTGATGGCACTGAGAATGTGATGTTGTGTAGTGATGTGTTTTCATCATTCTGCAAAAGATCAAAGTTTTTCATTTATTTTTTTGAACATCTAAATGTTATGAACATATCCAGCAAGTTGATTTCTACAGTACTTGGGACATCCAAGATTTAAAGTTTTTAAACACTAGTTGGAGAACCTACCATAAACAAACCCGAAAAAAGGAAAAAGAAAGAAAAATAAGAACATTTCCTAGACTTTTCAAATGGTTAGGCAATTCAGAGAAAGAATAAATTCTATACCCACTGTATGCAAATAATGGGCAGCAGGTTCTGGCAGGAGCCTAGAGGAAATATTGTTGAAGATGCAGAAGTCTGTTGGATGTTGGCCTTACTTAACGGAATCAGATAGTGTAGGTTATACAGCACTCAATGTTTCACGTAGTATTCTCATCTATTTCTCAAGAATTTTATTTTATTCTCATATTTTGCAAATTAAATAGGAATCTCTTCAGGACAACCCCCCCCCCCCCCATATTTTTAACTTATATTATTACATATTTATTTTTGATCTTTTTTTGTGTTGTTTT